ACTAGAACCCTGATGCAAGCGAGAGGTTCGTGGGATGAAGGAAGCCTGTTCCTTCCTGTTGTTGCGAAGCTGCTGGCTATATGGTGCTTTCCTAGCCAGAGGAACAGGTCTTGATTTCCAGCAATCAGCTCCTCTGCCCAAAGCCTATAGTTGTTATGTCCTTACTTATTCAAGTAGGAAAGGTGACTGATCAGTCAAGCCTAATGACCACAGGTTTTCAAGTCAGGAGACAGTCTCAGACAAAGAGTTACAGTGATGAATCTTTTCCCCTTTTTTTCCTCTTATTTCTAACACTAAAAATCCTCTTTTCTTGCATGGTAAGGAGAAAGGTCGTATTTGAACAAAGATCAGTTCCTTCCACCACTCTTATCTCTGCTAATCCAAAGATTTGAGTACTTAGAAACAAAGTAAGTAACAGTATTCACACCTGATTTTCATCTCCAAACCCTCAAGTGTCATCAATATGAGGCATGTATCAAACAAAAAGGACACACAAGGGGTAAGACGCAAAGACCTTATTCTGTCACTGTTACAGCTAGACTGAATTAGTCCTTTTTCCTGCAGGCTATGTGTGCTGGGATTCAAACCATGTACTTCATGCACACAAAGCTCTTGCACTTGCATCTCACAGAAGGTATTCCTCTGTGGTACACATCAAGACTGGCCCAGCATGAGTGCAACCACAACAGAAAAACTGTGAGGTATAATTTCCTGAAAGAAAGGTCTTTTTTCCTAAACCTCCTGTTCTCTAACACTAGTCCTTAAAAGAATGCTTGAAAGCAGGGCAGTGGTGGTGCACACCTTTAATCCCAGACAGAGACAGGCAGAGTCTGAGGCTAGCCTGGTCTACAGAGTGAGTTTCAGGAAAGACAGGGCTATACAGAAAAACCTTGCCTCAAAACAATGCTTGAAAAAATGATTTTCACAAAATCTTTTTTAAATGATACTTGTATCTTCTATGAGACTATCACTGTGAATCTACACCATGTCCACTTTAAGTATATCATGAAGTAATTTATGTCATATTTAAATGCTTGGTATCTAATGAATGGAACTACTTTGGAAAAGATCAGGAGGTGTCCTTGTTGGAGAAGGTGTGTCACTAAGGCTGGGCTTTGAGGTTTCAAAAGCCCACACCAGACTCAGTATTTCCCCAGTCCTTCTTCCCCTTTCTCTCTTCTCCCCACTCCCACCTAAAATATGAGCTGTAAATGCTCATCTACTGCTCCAGCTCCATGCTCACAGCCATGATGGCCATCAACTTCCCCTCTGAAGCTGTAAGCAAGCCCCCAATTAAATACTTTCTTTCATAAGTTGCCTTGGTCATGGTGTTTCTTCATAGCAATAGAATAGAAACTAAGCCAACTATGTTATTCAGATGTACAGTTTTAGAAAGTCAAGTAATGCTTATTTTTCTTTCTCCTACACACGGCTTTTGAAAATGATGGTTTATCTTTCAAATAATCACTAACTTATTTATGGAAAATAAAAACAACTGCAGCAATTTGCAGCCAGTATTTAGCTGTAGTCTGATCAAGACATCAATCTGTACTGATACTGCTTCATTCATTACAGAGGTCAAGCCCTGAGCATTCCATGCTCATCTCCATAGGAAATCACATGTAATATCTGTGCCAGGGATTTCATCTACCCACCTATGTTACAAGGTGTTTTAATTATGAGGCTTTAAAGAGGCTACTGTACTCAGCTCAATAAATAACTAGGGCTAGATAAAGGACTTAGATCCAGTTTGGACTGAGTACAAAGTTTAAAAGGCCATGCTTTGAAATTTCAGCTCTTATATAGAAATGCAGAACATCTGGGATGCTTTTAATAAAGACTACTACATACCTTTGCTATTTCTAGGAACTGAGCCTAGAGTGGACTTTTTACCTCTCTTTTCTGCCCCACTATATACTATTTGAATATTTTTTTTTATACAGCTAAGCAGAAATGTAGGGATTTTCCCTAAAGAAGAAAAAAATAAAACTGAGTTCTAAAAAAAATAACATCAGTGCAAACAAACACCCCAAGTCCAACTCTGTACTTGAGTTTTGAGACCTCCCTTCTCCCCATCCACACCCCCTCTCCCACAAACAGTGTTCCCACATTTAAGAGGGATATTATCAAGACTGAGGATCTAAGGACACTCAGGCAAAGCATTTCCCAGAAGGCACACAGTAGGTGCCCAGTGCTTCATCTGTCTATGAATGTGCCTCAAGCAAAAGCTGTAAGAAGGACCTCATACAGGAATTACCTAGGATAAAGAAAAACTGGAGAGTCTAAATTTAAGTTCTATCAATAAATGAATAAATTATAAAGATCAGAGAGTTTATTATTATGAATTTTTAATATTATGAGCATTTATTATTATGAAAAACAGAAATAGAAAAAAAAAACCCTAAAGGCTACACCATCACAATGTTTCTCATGCTTTTAGTTACTTGTGTGTATATGCATATTTATGTGTGCAGATACCTATGTGTGCACATACATGTGAGGGTTCATGCATGTGGAGATCCAACAGAGGACAACATCAGGGGTCCTTCTTCAGGTACCATCCCTATGGTTTTGGTGACGTTTGGGGTTTTTGCTCATTTATTTTTGAGATAGGGTCTCTCATGACCTGGAACTCGCAAGCAGGTTAGTCCCAAGGGCCAGTGAGTCCCAAGGGCCAGTGAGCCCCAAGGATCTGCCCCTCTCCCCAGCACTGGGACTGTGAGCACAGGCTAGCATGTCCAGATCTTTCTCCTGCTTCTGGAGACAGGGCTCAGTTCATCATGCTGCAAGACAAGTACTCATGAGCTGTCTCTCCAGCTCTACTTTTCTATTTTGTTTATTTACTAGTTACCTTTTATTCTGACAATTTTCTTTCTCTTTAAAGCTAAAAGTAGCTTCAATGTTTTCTTTTCTCCTCTTCCTTCTTTGTTGTTGTTCTTTGTGGGATTTTTAAGACAAGTCTCACTAGTTACCTTGTTTTGTTTTTTTTTGTTTTTTTTGTTGTTTTTTTTTTTTTTTTATTTTTTCCAGAGCTGACGACCAAACCCAGGGCCTTGTGCTTGCTAGGCAAGCGCTCTACCACTGAGCTAAACCCCTACTAGTCTCACTATCCAGGTTTGGGTGTCCTGGAACTTGTTATGTATAAGCCCAGGCTGGCCTTGAGCTTGTTATCATCCTCCTGCCTCTGCTTCCAAAATGCTGAGATTATGGTGTGCATCAGCGTGCCCCGTGTCAAAATATTTTCCTTAAGGTGCAAGTGATGTCATTGACCTCAGGGAAGTAGTCTGTTTATAGAAAACCATGCAGTAGAAGTTGAAACCATATTCAACTCTAAAAAAGTGCATATTAAAAGGCTTATTAGGCCATAATATGTATATGGTGAAGCAGGCTTGTATCTCATATTGGCTAGTAAAGAAAAATCTGCAGAGATAGTAGGGCCATGACAAATGAATGAAAAATGTATTTACATTACTATGAGGTTACTCCCTTTCGCTAGGCCATGCCAAACTTAATGTGGCACAAATAGCTCTGCTTTACCAACATACAAAAAATTCTAAAAAATTAATGCAGCGACTATAATCTAAATTTTCTTTCCTAATTTTTCACTGGAAGAATACAATGGTATATCCCTACAATCCTAGCACTCACAAGGATGAAACAGGGGGACTATTCTAAGTTCCAAGGTCAGCCTGAGACATATAATGTGTTCCAGGACAACCTGAACTACACAGTTGGACCCTATCTCAAAAAGAAGAAAAGAAAAGCATACGGAAGAATACGGAAGGTACACGTGAAACAGGAATCAAATGTTAGGGCAGTCAGGGGAGGCTCCCATGGTAGAGGAATGACAGGCGTGCCCTTAAGAGTCCAATATTATTATTTGTATGTCATTCACACCTCTGAGTGTAACATGCTTCAAATTATCATGGACCTACTTTAGCTGAAGAAAGATGTGGTAAGTGACTAAATATAATAGCAAATATTTTTTCTTTTCTTCTTTTGCTAAAGCCCTTCAAAATCTAGCTTTTCTCAAGACTCTTTGATTTTCTCTTTACCTACTATTACACTTCTGTTCACTGGGAAATAAGAAAAGCAGCAGAAAATAATGAGCATGACAAGAAAATGATGGAAAGAATTTCTGGTGAGGAAACGAGTGTCAAAGGTTCAGTTGGTCACATCCTAAATAAGGGCCACGCAACTTGCAGGGAGGGGAAAATTCTCACAATTCCAGAAGATGAGGAGTACACACAACATGGGCATCCCTGTGGCAAACTATTCAGTTTTTAATTAAAGTCCTGACTCAAAATGGAGTGGATATTTCCATACCAGCAACTTGCATTAGTTTTTAAAATATTGTAGGCTCTTGCTGAATAATTTATAAAAAGAACCATCTGTAATTATGAGTTTACATCGACTCTAAAATTAGAAAGTTGATCTTGGAATGTTCTACCTTATATTGTACTAAAAACATGTAGACACTTTAAGGTATCTTCCTTGAACTTTATCCCACACTATGCAAGGGGCCATTGGTTGCACATAGACTATGATGTGATGTTCCTATACTAGGAAAAGGTTAGACCTTAACACAATGGAACCGGATCATGTGAAGCTTTCTGAAGAACTTTTGGAGACTGATTTACTAAGCGTCATCCTTTCTTCAGTAACACCTGGACTTAAATGAATTCTACAGATTCAGCTAACGATTCCAAATGTACAAAGCCCAGAAAATTTGGCTTCTGGTTTCATGCTATAACCATGACCTCAGCTACCCAACACAGACTTCTTATAGATAAACAGATTAAAATGCCAACTATAATTATTCTAGGTAGCTGAACCCAGGTTAAAAAAGAAAATCAACTTTAAATACATTCCACAATGCTTTACAAAAGCAAAACAACAAACAAACAAAAAACAAATAAAAACAACAAAAATTAAAAGTATTAAAAAGCTGATTTTTGCTTAAAACACCAAGCAAGAATGGACATATGAATATTCCTAACCTGCAAAATGATTCCTCCACATTATATCAGCGAAACTCATTGGTGGGCCACTGGGAGGGTAGTGTTTACCTTTCAGAGGCTCATGATCAGTCCTTATCATATCCATTAAGGAGTTCTCCAAGGAGTGCAAGTTAAAAGTGTCATAGGGCCTACTCCGGTCCTAAAAACAAAAACACAGAACAAGACGATACATAAAATTACTTCATAAATTAACATGATATTTGTTCTGCTTCCTGCTGTAGACTGGCAAATTGAATGAAAGTTACAGACAAGTCTAAAAACACATTCACTCTTTATTAAGAATAATGTCTTAGTGCCAATACGTTCAAAAGAAGGGTTTTTAATTAAAGTGCATCCTTTTCCTAATAATCTATAATATAAATGCCCCATTCCTTCAGACTGACTTTCTCTCAAATGAAATGGGTCAAAGGTAGCTTTGCCTTCTACCATCTACTCCATGTTTTCCAATGAACACAGGAATATTTCCTAGAGACCACAACTGAGAACTTAGTGTAAAACCAGAATCACTTTTCTGAAAAAACGAAAAGGTGATTGACTGAAAAGAGGCAACAGGACCAGAGTTTGTGTCTAAGTAGCAAGCTCCAGCCCTGTCTGAGCTACAGACACAGGCATAGTCTCAAAATACTAACAGCAAAATCATGACAATGATTTCAACGTAATTACCAAAAAATACTTTAATATTTACGACCAGTAATTCCACACATGGGTAGTTTTATTTAAGAAGAAAAATAAGCTTAAGACAACGAATTAGATAACAAACTCCTAAAAGTTGTCCTCTAACCTCCTCATGTATTCTATGGCATGCATTTGTGCATGCGTGCGCGCGCACACACACACACACACACACACACTCATAAATAAAGAAATACAAAAAATCCTAAAATTTTAAAGCAAGAAATAAAAATTCACGGTGAAGAGGTTACGTGACAACAGTAAGAACACTGTTTAGGCGCTTGACAGAGTGTGGTGGGACTTGCCTGTTACTCCAGCAGTAAGGAGACTACTGCAGGAAGCTAGCTTGGGTTATAAAACAAGACTCTGAGCCGCCTCCATTTCCCCCAAAAGAAAAGGTTATTTGATGACATTCAAGGTTCTTCCTGGCCAAGACAGTCTGGGAGTTTGTTTGTTTGTTGTTTTTTAATCCTTATTGCAATCTTTCAAAGTAGGTAAAAACATACCTATTGTACACACAAGGAAAGTGAGTTTAACAAAGATTAGAACTCAGATCTAAACTCAAAACCAATACCCTAAGGAGTAAAAAATTCTGTTCAAAGAATTGACCCAGTCCACATAAGATGACTTCTTTGGAAGCATAAAATCACAGGCAATTACTGATGAAATGCCCTCGCTGGTGGTAGTAGTGAGTCCCTGTCTAGAGAGGACTGAGGAGATTAGATTAGGTGGCTATCTAGCAGGAAAATGTTTTCAGGGGAGTGTTTGATGTATCTAAGTTCAAATGAACCTCAAACCAGTCAAACTGTCAAAATCACATGTAGTTCTGGTTAAAATACAAGTCCCTGGGCTGGGGAGATAGATCAGTTGGCAAATTGCTTGCCTTGCAGGCAGGAGGACTTAAGCTCTCCTGGACCTCCATAAAGATGCAGGTTGTGGTGACATGTGCTAGGGAAACAGAGACAGGAGGATCCCTAGGACTCACTGGCCAGCCAGGCCCTCCTGTTCAGATAGTGGTAGGTCATTGAGAAACCCTACCTCAAAGGAACAGTGGATGGCTCCCGGGAACCAACACCCAAAGTTAAACTTTAAGTTCTAGTGTGCTCTCTTTTTCTGTCTCTCCTTCTCTCTCTCTCTCTCTCCCTGTCCTCTCCCTCTCTGTCTCTCTCCTGGACTCCAGCTCAAACATACTTAGTAATATTTTTCTAAGAAAAGCAAGCAAAATGTTCAGTAGGTAAAGGTGCTTGCTGTCCAGCCCAAGACTTTGGAGATAATAGAGAGAGTAAAGTATGTGTCCCACAAACTGGGGAACTTTAGTTTGGATCCATCACTCATATAGAAAACTCAACACGGTGTATCTATAATCCCAGCACTGAGCAGGCTGACACAGGCAGATGGGACTTTAGTAGGTCCATTGTAGTTAATCTACCACTTCAGGTTCATCTGAGAATTTGTCTCAGAAAATAATGTGGAGACTGATGGACAAAGACAGCTGACATCAAGCTCTGGCCTCTACAAGTATACACATGCGCATACACACACAAGAATGCATAACAGACCGGGATGGTGTGTAGCACAACAATGGAAAGAACACAAAATGTCTTCTGTGTGTCATGTCCCAGGACTAAACAGATTTAACATGTAAAAGTTCATGGATACTAACCTAACAGGGTTTATTAATGCTCAACAGATGAAAGCATGACATGTACAGAGAGTAACAGAATTTGCACATGCTTCTTAACTGAACAAAACTGTGCTCTATTGAGACTAATTTTTAATACAATGAATTCTATTCAAGCCTCATCACTTTATATTTGGGGCACTGCCTTCATCTTTTTGGTTTCACTCTACAGCAATGTTGTGAGGAGGTCTCTGGCTTCCTATGGTCTTTAGCCCAGAAACAGTATCAGTTCTTATGTTCTCTAAGAGAAGAACTCAGGTAGGACACAGGAGTCTACCTCACAGTCAGCAAGAGTTTAACCAGAGCCAGTAAGGAGCAAGAATTCGCTCCAGGAAGAATAGGCCAAGCAAGCAGTCACACTGACCCGGGCAGGCTCGAGCCAATGCTTCTCTTTTCCCTGTTGTTTCTCCCCATACGCCTCCCTCAAGAGAAGGAACCCTTCTAGAAAAAAGGTATGCTTTCCTCAGAAGCCCATTTTACCCAGAATTCAGTGAGTTATAAGTGGATGTATAAGCACGCTTAATATTGAAAAGTTTACTAGGGGGAAGGGCAACAACACTCTCCATGTGCTGCTCCACTGGACAGGGGGTCCTGAGGCCACTTCAAGCTGATCTAGCTGGCAGGGATCACTATCACCTACTGCCCCCTGCACATCTGTTTCTGTAGCTAACCAGTGCCATTATCTTCACATCCTGTTTCAGAGCCTTGAGCTGCTCCACCCGTCACTCCCTTCAGTTTATTTGTAGTAAACAATCCTGAAATAACTGATTAACCAAGGAAGGCAGTCAGAAAAAACAGGAAAAAAAAAAAAAAAACTAAAAACTTTGCAATAATGTTCAATAGAAATTATGCATAAAGAAAAATAATCTACAATTCATAGATCACAGATATTATAAATGGTAACATTGACAAGAGTCCAGGCCAGATTAAGCCACAAATGTGAGACACTGTCTAAAAAGGGGGAGGATGTGACAGTAAAATGGTTCATCAGGTATTACTGCCTGTGTGGTAACCCTGAAGTCCTCAGTTCAATCCTGGGACCTCTAGTGAGAACTAAAAACTGTCTTCTGACGCCTACGTGTGCATTGTGGCGTGTGTGCACCCACACAAACTAATACACAACCTCTAAACCAATCAAGTAAGCAAATAGCAACCCACTCATAGAGTTTTTTCCTCTAAGTTTTGCTTCCCCAAAGAAGAAAGAAGAAAAACAATTTTCTGTTTGCCTTTAGCAAGCAGTAAGCAGATCCCCAGAAGAATGAGAACACCTCTAAGCCACACAGCTCATTGCTGGGGTTCTCTACAAATGAACGAAGACAATGAGCCGCTTGCATGTGGCAGTAGTTCACCTCCCTCCTGCAGGAGTCCCGATCTCTTTCCCCTGCCTGACTTCACACTAATAAATTTATCAGGTATATAAAATTACCTCCTTACTCAAGGAAGGAAGAAGGAAGGCACAGGTGAGGTGCATCTGTAGAGCAGCCCTCTTGGGAGGCTGAGGCAGCAGGAGAGAGGGTGTGAGGGCAGCCTGGCTGTATAATGAGACTTCCGCCTGAAGAAACTAAGTCTCTCAGAAGAAGGTATGTTTTGTCTCCCTTAAGCAAGTAAGTCCTGGACAGAGTCAGTAGTGACAAGTTGCAGTGGTGGTACCAGGGTCCAAATTCAATCAAATCCATGTGACCTCCTCTTATTCCCTCTCTTTTTAAAACACCTCCCCACCCTCTTTAACCCAGACACAACCCACAGATACCTCTTCCACCCCTGCCATACAAGCAACCTGATTCACTTGCCCTTGGTCAATTACCCTCATTCAAATGACAACTAATTAACCGCAAGAAGAGGTTTGATTATTTTCTGGGCCATCCATGGCTCTGCCTCTCAGTCCTACCTCATTTACTCCCTGCGTTTCTGGATTTTTCATACTTGGGTATTTCCTTCCCTAGAAACACAAAGAAGAAGGCTCTAAGAGCCAACAGTATCTGGGAACAAAGTGATGAAAAATAACCATGGCAGGTCAACAAGGTGGCCCAGTGGAGCTTTCAGCTAAGCCTGATGACCTGAGTTTGATCCCTGGGACACACGTGGTGAAAGGAGAGAAATAACTCCTTCAAGTTCTCTGAACTCCACAGGCAGGCAGGAAGGCTAGTGGTGTGCTCTTGCTCTCTCTTCTCTCTCTCTCTCTAACACACGCACACTAACTAACTAAAAATAAAATAATAACATAACCATGGTACCATGTAATATGCTAGATACTGAACTGGGTTCTTCAGTTCTCTGCCATCCCCAGGATAGGTATTACCCACCTCACAGACAGAAAGAGGTGGACGGAGCTTATGTAACTGTCAGGCTTATGTAAAAGTCAGGCTGCAAACATACCAGTCATATGTATAATTAGCAAAGATTTTTTTTCCCCATTTAGCAGGCTGCCTCCTTGCTTGACTGATGAAATCCTTTGCATATAGAAGCCTTTTAGTTTCATGAGGTCCCACTTATTAATTGTTCATCTTAATGTCTATATAATTGAGGTCATCTTCAGAAAATCTTTTTCTGTGCCAATGAGCTTAAGCCTATTCCCTACTCTCTCGTCTATCAGGTTCTGAGTATTTGGTCTTAGATTGATGTCTTTGATCCATTTGGAGTTGTGTTTTGTGTATGATCATAGACATGAATCTATTTTTATTTTTCTACATGCAGCTATCCAGTTTGACCAGTACTATTTGTTGAAGATGTTGTATTTTCTTCAGTGTACATTTTGGGATTCTTTGTCCAAAAGCAGGTGTGCATAT